ATGAAGAAACCAGCCAATTAATCCCCAATTTACTGATGAGGAAATTGAGATACAGAGAAGTAGCTCTGCCTGAATGTGTGTAAAGTGGCAGAGCCACTATTCAAGCTCAGGCAAGCTGGCTCCAGATTAGTTCAGTATAGTATAAAATAGTTTAGTATAATATAATATAGTACAGTGAAACCTGTGAGAGCTGGAACTCGATGGGACTGCCTTGGTTTTCTAGGTCTCACAAGCCTTCTGCCTTTGACAGGGTGGTCTTACCACTTTTCTATTGCTTGTTTTAGGGGAAAATATTGAGTTTGCCTTCTTTGACAGGTTTCTGTTTACACAGGTTCCAGTTTTAGCAGGTTTTCCTGAATATACAGTATGTTAAATGCAGTTCTAATGCAGAGCTTGTTATATACATACATGCTCAATAAATATTAATTTACTTTATTCTTCATATCTCTCATTATTTGCTTCTCTCCATGGAAATCCTGTGCCTAGTTTTAACTGAAGGGGTGACAGTATTTAAGTTTGAGAAAGTATCAGGATATTTCTAAACTTCTATTTAATTACAGTTAGATACACAAAGACTGCCAAATCTATGAACAGTGTAATTTAATTTGTCTGACGTTTTAAGACTTTCCACATGAATAAATTTTCACATCAAAAAACAAAATCTTTTTTTGGTCTCTGGACCACAAGTCCTAAATTTTTGTTAAGGAATTATACTCACTTAATAAACCCTCAAAAAATGTAGAGAAATACACATTATAATAAGAACAGTTACTATTTATCAAATTGGTAAGGATAAAAAATATTAAAATGCTCACTATTAGTAAGGGTGTGAGAAAGTAACATTTTATACTTTGTTGGTAGGAGTATAATTTGGAAAAAAACTTTTTGGAGGAGAATATGACCATATGTACCAAAAGCCTGAAAGATGTGCATGCCCCTTGAAGTACGAATTCCATTTCTGGTAACTTATCCTAAGGAAATAATTAAGGATTTGGAAAAATACTTAGTTTAAGCATGCTTATCTAAACATTGTTGATCTTCATTGCAAGAAGTTAGAAACGGTTGACATGTTCAACAGTAGGGTTTAATTAGCAAACATCCTCAAACAGACTATGATGAAGAGATTTACATTATGGAAAGGTATTTTATATTTCATGAAAAAATTATAATATGATAAATACAGTATAATTTCATTTTTGTAAAAAGCTATGTCTATTTTGAGGCTGTTAACAGTGTTCTTCTGGATGAGTGAACTGTGTATATTTTTAATATTTTCTTTGCCTGTCAGTATTTTCTAAGTTTTCTCTAATGAACATTCACCACTGTCATAATTTTAAAAACTAGGCTTTTTTATTAGAAAAAGGAAATTAGGGCTATTACACCTATAATTTAACTAAATACTGTTGAATCATCTTTGACCATGCTTTCTATTCCTCATTCTGTAATATATACTTAGATTTTGGTGGGCTCACATGCTGTGCAATCTGGCTGAGATAGGAGAGGAAAATTCTCCTGGTTTAATTGCTATGGCAACATTTTAGAGTTGAAAGAAAGCTCAGATATCATTTAGTCTAGTCCTTTTCATTTTACAAAATAAGGAACCTGAGAGAGGTTCAAGAGATTGCATGATTTATTCAAGGGCACAAGGTTAGTTGAAGAACTACAATCTAATCTCTAGATTCCCAGTCCACTTATTCCTAAGAAATGGGTTTAAGACTCCCAGGATTAATGATCCTGGCTGCCAAGTTGGCAGTTTTAAAACCCAAGGCAAGCTACAAGTCAGTTCGAGAAAAGTCCAGTTACTCCTACAACACCAAAATGAACTCCCAAGTGTCAGAGGAAATAGAAAAAAAATTTCTAACACCATCAGTTCAGGAAAACACAGAGGGCTCTCCATGTTATTTAGTTTTGACACCTTTTAGAGGATACAGATTTTGAAACAAAGCAGATTCAGTGATTAAGACATTTGTAAGAGGCCTAAGTTAAGAACCACTATATCTAATGATTAACTGCAATGATGCCTTTAAGTAACAAAATAGTTGATACATTTATGATATGGCTTTCATATATTTGTTTTCGTCCATGCATAAGCAAAGAATCTAGATACAATATATCAGAGGTTCTCAAAGCGTAGTTTGCAGACCCTGGGTGAGGGGGTGTCCCTGAGACCCTTTTAAGGAGTCTGTGAGGTTAAAAATACTTTCCTAATAATATGAGGGCATTATTTACCTTTTTCACTTTGTTGACATTTACTTGAGAGTAAAAAAAAAAAAAAAAAACCTGAATAAAATTGCTGGCACCTTAGCACAAATCAGTAGCCCTGGCGGTGCAGTGGTTAAGAGCTAAGGCTGCTAACTAACCAAAAGGTTGTCAGTTCGAATCCACCAGCCACTCCTTGGAAACCTTAGGGGGCAGTTCTACTCTGTCCTACAGGGTTGTTGTGAATTGGAATTGACTCTATGGCGATGCGTAGCACAAACCAAGGAAGTGGCACTGAACTGTACTAGTATTTGTATTCACTGCCACACACTCACATAATGCCAATTTCACTGTAGATGTTCTTCATGAAATAGTAAAAATTATTAATTTTATTAGATTTCAACCCTTGAATACATGTGTATGGCAATGTATGCACAAAGCACTTCTGCTGCATACCCAAGTACGACTGGTTGTTCAGAGGAAAAGCCCTTGTGCAATTAAGTTGTGAGCTGAAATAGCTGCCTTTCTCATGGAACATCATTTTTACTTGAAGGACTGACACACAAGCTACAGCTACTTAGATTTAGCTATTTGGCAGAAATTCTCTCAAAGATGTAACAAAGTGAGCCTTTCACTTCAAGGAAAAAAACTGGCAGCATTTTTGCCAAAGATAAAATTCCAGCTTTATAGCAAAAATTAAAATTTTGGAAAATTGTATCTGCCACCAGGAACTTGACAACTTTTTAATACGTGAAGACTTTTCTGATGAGATGGTTGATAATATTAATGAATATGGTTGTTTGATACCGTATAATGAAATGTATCAAAATTAGGAAGAGCTGCATAACAGTGAACCACTATTTTCCAAATGACCAACGTCTGATGTTACAAAATCATGCATAGGTAAAAGATGCCTTCTAAGTTTAACAGAGACCAATGAATTTGAATGTAACAGAGTATGAAAAGTACACTGGTAAGGCTTCAGATTCCACATTGCAACCAAAATCCACTGCCATCGAGTCAATCCTGATTCATAGCGACCCTACAGGACAGAACAGAACTGCCCCATAGGGTTTCCAAGGCTGTAAATCTACAGAAGTAGACTGCCACATCCTTCTTCTGTGGAGAGACTGGTGGGTTCAAATCACTGAACTTTTGGTTAGCAGCCGGGCGCTTTCACCACTGCACCATCAGGGCTCCCTCCACATTGCAAATGACCTTTAAAAAATTACCACTCGTGGAATTTTGACGTAATGCCAAGGAATATTCATGATTATCTAAACAAGGCTGTTAAAATACTCTTCTCCAACTACTTAACAGCGTGAGGTGAGAATTTCATCTTCTTAAACCAAAACAAGAGTTCAACAGATTAAATGCAGCAGATGTAAGAATCCAGCTATCTTCTATTAAGTCACACATTAGTTTTGCAAAAATGCTAACCAATGTCACTATTTCACTGGCTTTGGGGGGGGTGTTGGAAAATAGCTATTTTTTGTAGAAATGTTATTTATACATGTAACAAATTTACTACTGTTATTAAAATATATATATACTTAAAAAATTTCCCAGTTTTAATTTCTAGTATGGTAAATATGGATAGATATAACTCACATTAACATAAGTTCTTAGGTCCTTAGTAAAGGGGCCCTGAGACTAAAATGTTTGAGAATTGCTGCCTTAAAATGAAAAGCCTCTCTTTTCACACTTGCTTTATGTAAAGATCTTCATTTGTTGGCATCAACTCATTTAACAGCAGGTCAAATATATAGATCACCGGCAGCCTGGAAATTAGTAAAAAAAAAAAAAAAAGAACACCTGAAATATAGTCGAAATCATCACATTAACTTGACAGTTACTGTTGTCCTCTGGATCCATCAAGACTACGAGGGCTACAAAGCTCCATACAAGATGAGAGACAATGTGCAATAGAAAACTGTAAAAAGCTAAAATGCTGATATGTTCTAAAGTAGTTTTATAGATATCTAGCAAGGTACACGCATTTCTTTTTTTCTGTTGGATCTTCATTTGGGTTTACAGTTCAGGGTTGGATTTGAGAGTAGGGGTGGTGGCGGCATTGTTTCTGAAAACCACTCCATCTAGCCCATCAGGGCAAAGAATTTAATTCTCTCTGCATCTTGCTACTGGTCTATTGCAGAGGGGTGTGGCTAGGGAGCTAGGAAACAATCCAAAACAGCAGCTGAGGATGCCCAAAACCGTGTTCAAGCAATAATTTTTTCCATCTGAGGCCAAGTCAATTTGTCCCCGCAACAGCCAGAATGTTTTATGGAGAAGAGGGAAATAAAAAGGAAATTAGAAAGCATGGACGGAAGTATGAGCAGAACCAAAGCGGTTTCATCTTATGTGGTTGTTAAATAATTGGTATACTAATAACGTGTCGAGGGGCAAATGAGAATTGCTATTTCTGAGTGTACAGCCGCGGCACTTTTAATGACAGGTTTGCAATTCTGGATGCGGGCGAAAGTCAAAAGATTTTCTTACCGGACCATCTTTTTGCATTCATTTTGGGCTGGGCCTGTGACCAGTTGCGCTCACTGCGGCTGAGGCAGACCCAAACAAAGGGGAATGGATGCTCTCCCCAAGGAGCGGAGGGGCGAAAGGTGGCCCCCGGGCTCCCGCGCCAGGTGTCCCGCAGGGGTCGACCGTGCAGGCTGCGGGGAGGAAGGGTTCCAGAAGCGTCGTAGGGGTGTGGTCGGCAAAGGGTAGGCCTGGGCACTCGGTACTGTCCCGGCAGACGACCCCGCCCTACCCACGGTCAAGGTTTACTCGCAAAAGGGAGGTACCTGTGGAGGCCTCGCACAGCCGAAAGGCACCGGGCGATCATGGGAGCGCTGAGAGGGCTGTGGCGGCGGGCGCGTTGTCTTTCGATTTGGGAGATGAGAAGAAGGTCGGCGGACTCGAGGAGCTGAGGATCCGCGAGGCAGCCTACGCGAGGAGGCGATAGCAGCGGCAATCACAGCAAAGCTGCGGCCTGCCCAGCCTGCGCCCTCCCACGTGCTGCCGTCCACGCCGGCGCCCACTTCAGCCCCGCCCCCGCCCCGCACTCCGCCCCTCCCCTGGTCCCGCCCCACCCCGCGTGCACTGCTCCGCGCGTCCTGCATCTCCCCAGAGGAGGTGCTGGCGAGACCGAGGTATCGCGAGCGAAGTGCACCGCCGGGTGGGCTGTGGGGGCGGTGGCGGCAGCAGCGGCGGCAGCTTGGGGACTGTGGAAGTTTGGGCGACCGCTGCCTGCGTTGCGGCTCGGGAGCCAGGCTCAAGCCCTGAGGACGAGGGGACGGGCAGACAGGCCTACGGACGCTCACGATACCGCTGCCGTCGTCTCGTATCCTCTTGCTGGTAAGGGGTTTCTGCCCGGGAAGGGTGCGTTTCCCGCCGCCCCAGCTGGAGGCCGTACCGCACACCCGCTGCAAACCCGGTCAAGGCCGAGGCGCAGCCCTGGTGCTGAAGGGACGGAGAAGGAGGTCGCTGGGGAGAGAAGTCAGGAAGAGATTGAATATCTCTTTTTCCCTCTGCACCTCTTTTCCCCCATTATTTTTTCACCTTCTGCCCGGCGGCCTTATTCAATACTTGCAACTCCATGGCCTAGAGTCTGGGTTCGCCTTTAAAACAAGTACACAAATAATAACCATCCTAGTGGCGGGTACCACACCCTGGCTTGGAATTAGGGAACTAGGGGAGCAGATGGATGATGCGATTTAGTGGAAATAAGCCATTAATGCCGGCTGGCCCTACGCCACTGTTTGGATGCCATAGTGTTCCATGTGAATGAACATGATCGGGAGCTTCCAGCTGTCTAAGAGAGCACAGCTACTGCAGAGAGCACTGATCGGTTTGTAATATCCATCGATTTAGGCAATGATTTTGTGACATATCTGTTGATTAAGTAGAAATGCCGTTTTTATTAAGGACGACAGTCAACAGTTGAACAGCCTTTCCTGGATATATTTTTTTTTAATAACACTCTCAAACTACAGAAGTATGTGGAGTGTAAATTATGCATGCATTTTTTAAAAAATCTCATGAAACAGAGGAAAATACCAAGTGGGGATCAGCTTCTGAGTCAGCAGTATGAAATCTATCTCAACCTGGTACTAAGGCCTTTTGGGGATTTCTACATATGTACCTCTACTGCTCTGTAAGTATGTGTATTGTTAAGATATAGTGAGGTGCTTACTGAGAGCTTACATTGTACATATTTTGAGAAAAATTTACTTATACAGGACTTGACATAATCTAATATTACTGGGTATAAATGAAAATATGTAATGAATTGCCACAACAATACTTTGTGCTTTCCTAGCTCTTTAAAAGGAGAAAGGGGAGAAGGTAATACAGGGTTCTTGTTTTTTTTTTTTAATTTTGCTTTGTTTTTTAACTCATTTAAACCCTTGTTATTTATAACCTTTGTGACTGATTTCTTTAAAATAACTTAATTCAGTGTTTTCAGTTTTCTTACCAGGTAAACGTGTTTAAGCTTCTAAAATGTCGTCTATCAAGCACCTAGTTTATGCAGTTATTCGTTTCTTACGGGAACAAAGTCAGATGGATGCTTATACTTCTGATGAACACGAAAGCTTGGAAGGTAGACACCTGTTCTTTGCATTTATTTGTATTTTAATTATAAAGACTAAAATAGCTGTAAGCCCGATTTTATGATCCATTTTAGCAAAAGCAGAATGTTTTGTTGATCCTTCAAGAAGAGAGCCTAACTGTAAGGTTACTGTATTCCTGTTCTCTGAGAAGGAACCCTGGTGGCACAGTGATTAAGTGCTTGGCTGGTAACCAGTAGGTTGGCATTTGCTCTGTTCCATGGGAGAAAGATGTGGCAGTCTGCTCCTGTAAAGTTTACATCTTTGGATACTCTGTGGGGCAGTTCTACTCTGTCCTATAGGGTCACTATGAGTCGGAATCGACTTGACAGCAACGGGTTTATTCTCTGAGGCTTGTTTGATTTGTTTTAATTAACAACAGAGTAAGGGGACTATCTTTCATTTATTGAACAACTACTATGTGTTAGAACTATACTAATGTTGTAGGGAATTTGTTCTTCACAGTATTGTTAATATCCGCATTTAACAGATGAATAAATGAAACTAGATAGGTTAAGTAAAAGTAACACAGCTGATATGTGTCAAAGCTGAGATTTAAATCCTAGTTTTTACTCAAAAACTCTTAACTGTGTCCTCTACCTAATAGGAAAGCATCCAGGTTAGAAACAATGTATGAAAATATCTTAGTTATAGTAACACCATGTAAAAGTCTAATAATTATACCACTAGTGAGCTGACAGGTGCCTATCTGGGACTTGAAATGAGAGGATTTCATTTTTATTTCAGCTTTAAATATTGGATTTGGTAATTTGTAAAGTTGATCAGAGCTTGGATGATGGCATCATGTGTTTCCTTGGCACCATCCTTTGTTCTTCGTGTTTATGCATTATAAAACTTATATTAAATATAACTGTAACAAGATCGAGTTTTGCACATGGGCTTGTGGACATTCACTGGGCCCACGGAGGATTCATTGAGCTTCCTTGTGGCCTAAAGACTTAATAATTCCAATCAGACAGTACATTTTGGAGACCTTAGTATTGTGTGAATTTCCTTTCTTGAAGCTGCTTCTCCTATGAAAGTACACATCTATTACTTTCAACTAGAGCTTTCCTTGTGAATATGCTTTTAGGAGGTGGGCATGGAAATTGGTCGTTTGCTCTAAATCTTGCAATCTGGTGAGATGATGTCTTTCCAGGTGCCAGTGAGAGGAGCAGGTGACACACAGTTGGAGAACACTGCCATCAGTCCATTTAATATGAAGGTCTTTTTGTCTTCCTTGATGGTTAGACTATGTGAAGATAAAGGTGATTGGCATCTAAGGGAAATAGCATTGTTATGGTTGCTCTGTAGCAAACAGATAAATGCAATCATTTAATAAAAGAATTTTTTTTCTATTTAAAGAGAGAATAACACTTTTAAGGGTGAGAAAGAAAATTAGGAGTTTTTAAAAAATCAAGATGTTAACTCCCATTTTAGGACGGTATTCAGCCAAAAATATGTGCCTTCAGCTGTTTGTTAGCTATGGCAGTCAGAAACGGTGCCAGTTGTTTTTGATCTACTCCTATTTTTGACTCTGTGAGTCTAATTTTTATGAAATCATGTGGAGGTGTCTGCCCACCTTCTAGACATTTAAAAAATCTTTAGGAAAGGAGTCCAAGTTCTAGTACCAGCTTCACCACTCTTGTTAAGCTTAGTGTATTACCAGTTTTGAGTCTCATTGCTAGATCATATCATCCACTCTTCCTAATTATTGTCATTCAGCTCACCTCTGCTTCATTTTTCCAACTGTTTTAACTCATTGCCGTTTCACTGTAGCACTACTCCTGTCCTTAATTTTCGGCAATTGCAGTATATTCATAGATGATGATTCTTCCAGTTCTCTGGCTTCTCAGTTCCTTAATCTTTTCTCCTCTGGTGATCTTGTGTTCCCACTTAACGTCAACTATGCACTCTCTTGGTCATCTCTAGACCAGTGGTTCTTAACCAGGAGTGATTTTGCAATGTCTGGAGACATCATATCACGAGGGGAGGTCGTTAACTGGCATCTAGTGGGTAGAGGCTAGGGATGCTGCTAAACATGCTACAATGCACAGGACAGCCCCCCACAACAAAGAATTACCTGTTCCAAAATGTCATTAGTGCCAAGATTGAGAAAGTCTTCCCTACACCTTGTCGTTACCAAGTTGCATCTCCTCTGTAATCTCAATCTTAGACATTTCACTTCCTGACTACTACTGATTGTCTTTCTGGCTCACTCCCTCTAGATTCCCTGCCTGAACAATTCTTTGACCCCATCAATACCTCCAATCTCTTGATCCTTCACTTTTTCATCCCCCTCTTCTTACACAGCTTAAATTCCATAGTCGATCATTATAATCATTCTTTTGCATATTTCTCCCTTTCTTGCAAAAATCCAACCTGTTTAAATGAAACTCTCCATCTACTCCATGTCTGTATCCATTTTTTTGTTGTACATAGTACTTTAAAAAAATGGAAATCTGTTGCCGCTGAGTTGATTCCGACTTAGAATGACCCTATAGGTCAGAGTACAACTACCCTAGAGGGTTTCCAAGGATGTAAATCTTTACAGAAACAGACTGTCACATCTTTCTCTGATGGAGCAGACTGGTGGGTTCAAACCACTGACCTTCCAGTTAACAGCTGAACCCTTAACCACTGCACCACCAGGGCTCCTTGGTTGTACACAGATGAAGAAAAACACACAACTCTGTTGACTGGTTTTGCTTTTAATCCATGACTGGGAACCTCAAATGGACCTTTAATGCTGCCAGACAATCAGACTATCTGTTCCAAGTTCATTCATCCTTCACTCTCCGAGATGACCATTCTAACACTTTGTCCTGTCTTCTCAAGCCCTGGACTTCCTTCCCCATCCTCTCTTTTAGTTGATGACATTGCTTCCTACTTCACCAAGAAAATTTAAGTAATTAGAAGACAACTTCTGTAGACTCCCACTGCCCCATCTACCCACCTGCTAACATATACACCCACATGCTCTGCTGCTTGCCTGTCTGCCTGTCTATGACCATAGATGAACTATCCATGTTCCTTTCTAAATGAAACCCCTCTACAAGTACATGGAACCGATCCTATCTCACCTATTCCAGGATATCACCAGTTGTTCTACTGTCTTTCTCTTCATCAAATTTTCACTCTGTTGGATCATTTCCATCAGAATATAAACTTTCCATTATTTCTGTCTTCTTCCAAAAGCAAAATCAACGAAAAAATTTACCAGTGGCCATACTGTCCTTAGCCCCCTTCCTCAACTAAGGCCTAATTTTTTTGTCTTCCTTTGCTGCAGAACTCTTTGAAAGAGTTGTCCAGTTCCTCCCCTGTTCTTTCTTAAACCCACTCCAGTTAGTCCTTTGCGTTATCTCTCTACTCACATTGTTCTCGTCAAGGTAATTAGTGATTCTGTGCTGTTTTGATCAGTGGTGAGTTCTCAGCCTTCATCTGAGTTATGAGCTGTCATTGATACAGTTGGTGACTACTCCCTCATCCTTACCCTCCTCCAGATACGCTTTATTCACTTGGCCTCCAGAATACTTATACTCAACTTGATTTTCTTATCTCATTGTTTGCTCCTTCTCTGTCTCCTTTGCTGATTCCTCTTCTTCCTCACCTGGAGTGCCTGGGGTCCAGTGCTTGGTCCTCTTGTCTGTCTACACTCACTCTTTTGGTAATGTTATTCAGCACCTTGGCTTTAAACATCCTGTATATGCTTGCAGATCTCAGATTTATACCCTCAGCCCAGACCTTTCTTCTGAACTCTAGACTTGTATATTCACTGCCTAGTAGATATCTCCACTTGTATGTCTAATGTTGTCGTTAGGTGCCATCGAGTCAGTTCCCACTCATAGCAACCTTGTGTTCAGCAGAAGGAAACACAGCGGTTCTGCACCATCCTCATGATTGTTGTTACGCTTGAGCCCGTTGTTGCAACCACTGTGTCAGTCCATCTTGTTGACATCTTCCTCTTTTTCTCTGATGCTCTGCTTTACCAAGCATGGTGTCCTTCTCTAGCGACTGGTCCTCCTGATAACATGTCCAAAGTATGTGAAATGAAGTCTCGCCATCCTTGCTTCTAAGGAGCATTTTGGCTGTACTTCTTCGAAGACAGGTTTGTTTGTTCTTTTGGCAGTCCGTAGTATATTCAGTATTCTTCACCAACACCACAATTCAAAGGCATCAATTCTTTGGTCTTCCTTATTCATTGTCCAACTTTTGCATGTATATGAGGCGATCGAGAACACTATGGCTTGGGTCAGGTGCACCTTAGTCCTTATAGTGACATCTTTCTTTTTAACACTTTAAAGAGGTCTTTTGTAGCAGATTTGCCCAATGCAGTGTGTTGTCTGATTTCTTGACTGCTGCTTCCATGGATGTTGATTGTGGATCCAAGAAAAATGAAATCCTTGACAACTTCAATCTTTTCTCCCATTTATCATGATGTTGCTTATGTCTAATAGGCAGCTCAAATTTAACATAGCCAAAAATCAGCTGCTGAACCTCTCACCCAGAATCTATTCTATCTGCAACTTCCACATCTTGATTGATGGCAACTCCAGCTCTTCAGTGGCTTAGGCCAAAAACTTGGGTGTCATTCTGGACTCTTTTCTTTCTCTCAAATTTCTGTCCCAATAAATCTTTCCAGCTGTCCCTTCAAAATATGTTTGGAGTTTGACTGCTTCTTGCTACCTCCGCTGGTATCAGTCCTGGTTAGAGCTATTAGTATTTCTCTCCAGGATTACTGTGGTAGCCTCTAACTGGTCTCTCTGCTTTTGTCCTTGCCCTTCCATTGTCTATTCTCAACAGAGCCACCAGAGGGATCTTTTTAAAACAGTGTATGTCATATTATATTACGTTACCATTCAAAATCTTGCAGTGGCTCCTTATGTTACACAGTCATTGTCTAAAGACTATTTAATTTGGACTTTTGTCATCTTTCTAATGTCTTGTCTGCCTACTTTTCCCGTTTTTCACTTAGCTTTAACCACATTAGTTTCCTTACTTTGAATGTATCTTGCCTAAGGGCTTTTGCTTCAGCTATTTCCTTTGCCTAGATTGTTCTTCTCCTAGATAATGGCAACACCCCCATCTCCTTCAAGTCATTTTTTCAGTGAGGCCTACCCTGATCACTCGATTAAATCTGTGACCCCTTTCCTGCACCACTCTTTACCACTTCCCACCTTCTTACTCTGTACTACTTGTTTATTGTGTATACTCTACTCTTCCCTCTCACTAGACTGTAAGTCCCAAGAGGTTAGGGATCTTTTAAGTTTTGTTCACTGATATATCCCAAGTGTCTAGAAAAGTGCCTAACACATGATAGGTGCTCAATAAATATTTATTGAATGATCCTGGGCATATCATTTAGTCAGTGTATATCTTAGTTTTAAAGTCTATTAGATGGAGATATCGGAATCGATCCTATGGCAACTGACAACAACAACCCATCTAATAGATTTGTCACGAGAGTCAGAATCAGTGAATCGTAGGTGCGAAGCATGAGAAAGCTTTTGAATAAAGTGTTATACAGATAGGGTATGGTATTATTCAAGAGAATTCTTTGGTTGTCTTTCTCTTCGTCAGTACCAAACAGACTACTATTGTTTGGTGTTAAAGCAGATACGTATATCTTTCGCTCTCTATTAGTGGAAAATATTTGAGTTTTCTTTTTCTGACAGGTTTCTGCCTTACACAGGTTCTGGCTTTCACAGGTTTTACTGTATATGCTGGATCCGTGTTTTAAGTTTAGAGGCAGCAGAAATAAAGGAGCTGGACTGGATTGCCTCAACAAGATAGGGCATGGAAAACACTTAGAGCAACAACATAGACTTTTCACCTGTCAGTGTAAGTTTGAGGCTCTGATTTTTGGTTAAGGGTTTCTTTGGGTTCTGTCTGTCTTTCATATGGCTGCAGATAGATGTCTTTAGAGGAGAGAAATGCTCTCTTCCACAGATTTGATTGTTTTTATTTCCTTTGAAATTAAATTATTACTTTCACTGGAAAAAAGAAGGCAGTAGATTAAATTTATCGTGCATCTGTTATTTGCCAGACTCTGTTAAGAATTAAAGATAAATAAGATGTAGGTTTTGTCCTCAAGGAGACAGACATAGTCTAATATGGAAGACAGACATGTAACCAAGTGTAGTATAGTGTGATAAGTACAATCATAGAGATGTGTATAAGCTACATGCACAGTAAAGGAGATGATCAATCTGATCAGGGAGGGAGGATGTTCATCAGGAAGATACACGCAAACGCACACGCACACGCACACACGCACACACGCACACACGCACACACACACACACAATCTTTCTTCATGGCAATGAGAGCCTATTTTCTTGTGGCCCAAAGTTGTTAAGTCCAACTGTTTGACAAAAATAGAAAGGGAGCGAATGAGGGATGGGTAAACAGTAGATTACAGGCAGTCCCCAGGTTACAAACAAGTACCATTCCTAACTGTGCATTTAAGTCGAATTTGTAAGTCGGTAACAGGTACATACAGTTCTTATTTAGCCTAACTTTAGTTCAAAAAAAGGCTTGAAGTCTTTTTAATAATTTAAAAGCTGCACATGCAGCAAGTGAAGGTGATTGTGAAGAATTTGTTGCGAGTAGGGATTGGTCCATTGGTTTCAAGGTGAAGGTACATTTATGTGATATTAAAGAGCAAGTACAAGTTGTCCATAAGTCAGACGTTTTTAGCCAGGACTGCCTGTTTTTTTATCTAGGAGACGCTGATGTTTTGTCATGGTAACTTAGTTGCTTCAGTCCCTATTCTAAGGAGAATTGCTCTGTGGCAAGTGAGAGTAAGCTAGTAGTGTTTCTTTTATGACAGAGGTAATTTTCTCAGGACCACAATCAATATGTAGCTTTTAAAAGTTATGTACAAATATAAGTGAATCTGTTCCATGTTGTTTGGAAGTATGCTAGACATTTTGGCTAGATTCTCATCATGTGGAGCCAAGAGAGAATTCTTCCTCAAACTAGAGCACTATCAGGATATGAATCAGCTTCCATTCCCCTCAAAGGGTACTTGTAGAGAGAGGACAGGATGTACTGGCTCCATGGTTACTGCCCTAGTTCAGACTCTTAGTTTGTACCATTTAAGAAGGAACCCCCCAGTGTTCTACTTCTCTCACTCAGCTTCCCGCTCTAATTCTTTCTTAACATTCCTACCAGACTTCTAGTTCTAAGCATAAATCCAGTTATGTTACTCCTTTTCACTAAATTCCTTAATGGCTCTCCATTTACCTAAGCACAGATCCAGATCTCTTGAAATGCCATTTAAGGTGCTTTGTCATCTGCTGCCTGTCTTCCTTCTAGCATCATTTCCAAGCATGTCATTCCACATGGTCTGTACTCTAGCCATACTAGCTGTCTTGTCATGCACCAAATGTAGAAGAGGCACATATCATCACTTAACGTGCTATTTTACTTATTTTGTTTGTTTACCTTCTTCTATATATGTAAGCTTCATCATGTGAGCAGTGATTTTTGTCTGTTAGGTTTATTGCTGTATGCTTACCACCTTAGAACGGTGCCTTCACATAGTAGGGGCTTGGTAAATTTGCATGCATGAATGGATTTTTTTAACATCAACCTGTCTTCACCCAAGTAAACCAGGATCCGTATTTAGAGCCTACTTGTGCCAGAGACTAAATTGTGCCTGATTTTAAAAATCAGGTTAAGAATTCTATTTCTCACATTAAAAAAAAAAAAGATAAATTTTTAGTTTTGCTTGTGGCATTAGGACGTTAGTTGTACTCAGAGATTTTGGTGGGTGGGAGTAAATTGCTAATGACTTGCTCTTTCTTACATAATGTTCTTGTAGCATTCAACAAGAATATGATGTAATACATATATTGAGAAATTATGTTCTAGATAACATTTTCTTTAAGTGAAGAATAAGAAATCAAGTTGCCTTCCCTCAATAGCTGGTCTATAAATAGAAATCTCTATGCAGCTGAACCATTTAGTTTTCCATATGTTCTGTGATGATAAATGCTGAAATACAACAGATGGCAATCCAGAAAAGAAAAAGGTGGTTTCTTTTTTTAAGTTGCTATTTTTTCACTATTAAAATTTATTTCAAGTTGCAATTCAGTGCTTGGAGACAGTTTTTAAGATCAGCCCAGAAGATACACACCTCGCAGTTCCACAGCCTTTGACAGAAATGTTTACGAATTCCTTCTGTAAGGTAAGCTGTCGTTGTTTCCTCATTAGTACCTGACTTAAATATGATTATGATTTTATGTTGCACTGTTACATAGTTGAGGCGCCTGGCCTATAAGTAACTAACTTCTTCCTGGGTATAAGTTAGATAGTGCATATGAGTACCATTTGGGACATGAAGTGGCATCTTGTAATGCATTTTAGATTTTCATATTGGTAGCTATTCTCATCCTCTCACATTCTTTTGTATTTAATAATATGTCTTTGTTGACTTTTAAGTCCTTTAAGTGTCTAAGTATTTTTAGATTTCTAATATCTGAATTGACATTTCTCTAAAACATGGAATACAAGTTAAAAACAAGTTTCAATGTCTAGAAAGCAACTAAGCAGAAATAGGTTCATCAAGAATTGACTTATCATTTCTGAGAGCAGATTTCATCAAATTTGCCCATTGATGGGGCCCTTTAAAATGGGGAAAGCTTCAGGGTCGTTGTGCAAAACTAAGACTGAAACTCAAGTTTTCTGATGCCTGTTTATGTGGTCTGTGGTTTCCAGCCTTTGTAGGAAACATAGGCTATAAGATTGTCTTTGAAAATTTTTCAGATTAGTTTTGGTGCCACATGGATTCCTTTTGTTGTTCTTGTTTTGCATCTAAGCTTCTGTGCAGAATGAGGAATTCAGGAGTAAAGCTAAAATGTGTAGTGTATACCTTAACCTGGAATGGACATTGCTGAAAATACCACATTTGACTGGATTATCTAGGCTTTGTTTCTAGAACTAAGAACTAAACAAGGTTCTTAAGGTTGCAGTGAAGATGTTAATTTGGCAGTAAACAACTCCCTCTTTTTATACTTGAAAAAGAATAATGCAGTTTTACATTAATTCATCAAACAGTTGAATTCTTATGATATGACAAGATCTGGGGCGATAGTGGCATGTCTCTCTGTGTTCCTCAGCAGGGAATTCCCTTTGGTTATGATAGGCTGTAATTCTCTCGTTGTCTGGGCTTAGTGGCTGGATATGGCTATGGCTGAAGCATACCATCTTTACTCTTAGCTGTCCAAGAGGCCTGTGCTTGAGACAGCAGTTGAGTCTGCTCACTGTTAAGCTACTGTCGTCATTGACCTAGTAGTGTGGAGATCAGAACTGTGCTTGTCTCCCAGGAAGCTCAGAGTGACTTTTATACTCTATTTCAATAAAGTTCTATTTTTTTCCTTTATCTTTCTAATTGTATGTAATAGTAAGAAATTGGTTGCTTACTATTTTCTTAACATAGCTTCTTGAAACGGGCTCCATAGTATATTACAATAATGTTATTTGTGGTTTCACAGTCTGTTAGTAGTCCTGTTTTACAGCTCTGGCTTCATTACATGTGTGTTTGTTAGCAGAATATGGCAGAGAAATTCTAAAACTTGTGTGAAATAACATCCAGATTGTTATAATTAAAGAAAGTATCTATCTCATCAACTGTACTTGGTTGTTAAATAGGTCATTTTATTTTAGGATACCGCTTTCTGTTTTTTTTCCCCCCTCCAATTCAGCTTACATACTAAATAGATTCATTCTCTTTATTATAGTAGGTAATGCTCACCCCCACAGTATCATGGGTTGCTGATATTCAATTGAATATGAGAATTGGTTTTCAAAGTGATAAAATTTTGATAATTTCATTAAAACAATTCAGAAGTATTTGGAAGACAGAATGGGCTATAGATCCAGTTTTCAATATACCATTTTTCTAATCCCAAAAGGTCATTTTTTCCCACATACATAAACTCTGCCTAGATTTGTTGGAAGAGGTGAAATAGAAGGAACCTTAAAAGCAAGTTCTGAAGGACAGTGATGTGTCTCGAAACTGCAGTTACGTCTTGAGTAACTATAGCCACTTTTAACTGGTGACCTCTTTTTATAAAGCTTCCCATTTTATTTGTTTCTATACTTTTCTATTCCACTAGTTTTGTTGTTGTTAGGTACCATTGAGTTGGTTCCAACTCCTAGTAACCCTGTGTACAACAGAACGAAACACTGCCTAGTCCTGCGCCATCCTCACAGTTGTTGCAATGTTTGAGCCCATTGTTGCAGCTGCTGTGTCAGTCCATCTTGTTGAGGGTCTTCCTCTTTTTCCCTGACCTTCCACTTTACCAAGCATGATATCCCTGTCCAGCAACTGATCCCTCCTGATAACATGTCCAAAGTACATGAGATGAAGTCTTGCCATCCTCGTTTCTAAGGAGCCTTCTGGCTGTACTTCTTCCAAGGCACGTTTATTCGTTCTTCTGGCAGTCCATGCTTTATTCAATATTCTTCGCCAACACTGTAATTCCAATGCATCAGTTCTTTTTCAGTCTCCCTTATTCATCGTCCAACTTTCGCATGCACATGAGATGATTGACAATACCATGCTTGGGTCAGGTGCAGTTTAGTCCTCAGAGTGACATCTTTGCTTTTTAACACTTTAAAGAGGTCTTTTGGAGCCCTGGTGGTGCACTGGTTAAGAGGTTAGCTGCTAACCAGAAAGTCAGCAGTTCGAATCCACCAGCCGCTCCTTGGATCTCTCTGGGGCAGTTCTACTCTGTCCTATCGGGTCACTATGAATCACAATAGAATCTATGGCAACAAGGTTTTTTTTTTTTTTTTTTTTTTTGTAGCAGCTTTGCTCAATGAGATGTATCATTTGATCTCTTGAGTGCTACTTCCATGGGTGTTGATTGTGGATCCAAGTAAAGTGAAATCCTTGACAACTTCAGTCTTTTCTCCGTTCATTATGATGTTGCTTATTGGTCCAGTTTTGAGGATTTTTGTTTTCTTTATGTTGAAGTGTAATCCATACTAAGGCTGTAGTCTTTGATCTTTGTCAGTAAGTGCTTCAAGTCCTCTTCACTTTCAGCAGGCAAGGTTGTGTCATCTGCATATGAAAAAATTGAAGATTTTTACCAACTTCTACAGTCTGAAACTGATCAAACATATAATCAAAATGCATTGATTATTACTGGGATTGGAATGCAAAAGTTAGAAATGAAGAAGGATTGGTAGTGGGAAAATATGGCCTTGGTGTGTTAGAACGAATGCCAGAGACTGCATGATAGAATTTTGCAAGACCAACGACCTGTTCACTGGAAATACCTTTTTTTCAACAACATAAAAGGTGACTATACATGGGGGTCTCACCAGATGGAATACACAGGAATAAAAGTGACTACATCTGTGGAAAGAGATGATGGAAAAGCTCAGTGTTATCAGAACAAGGTCAGGGATCAACTGTGGAACAGACCATCAGTTGCACATATGCAAGTTCAAGTTGAAGCTGAAGAAAGTTAAAACAAGTTCACAAGAGCCAAAGTATGACCTTGAGTACATTCCACCTGAATTTAGGGACCGTATCAGGAATGAATTTGACACATGGAACATTAATGACTGAAGACCAGATGAGTTGTGGAATGACATCAAGGATGTCATACGTTAAGAAAGCAAAAGATCATTAAAAAGAGAGGAAAGAAAGATAAGAACAAAATAAATGTCAGAAATGAATCTGAAACTTGCCTTAAACATAGGGTAGCTAAAGCGAATGGAGGAAATGAAGTAAAACAGCTGAACAGAAGATTTCAAAGGTTGGCTCGAGAAGACAAAGTATTTTAATGAAATGTGCAAAGACCTGTAGTTAGAAAACCAAAAGGAAGAACCCACTCAGCATTTCTCATGCTGAAAGAACTTAAGAAAAAATTCAAGCCTTGAGTTGCAGTATTGAAGGATACTGTGGGCAAAATATTGACTGACACAGGAAGCATCAAAAGAAGATAGAAGTAGTATACAGAGTCACTGTATCAAAAAGAATTGGCCGACATTCAGCCACTTCAGTAGGCAGCATAAGAATCTATGGTATTAGACTGAGTCCAGTGCAACTAGATGGTACCTGGCTATCACCATTGACTACTCTTACGAGGATTGCAACAGAGAGTCCCAGACAGAGCTGGAGAAAAATGTAGAACAAAATTCAAACTCACAAAAAAAGACCAGACTTGCCTGACAGATACTGGAGAAACCCCAAGAGTATGGCCTCCGGACACCCTTATAGCTCAGCAATGAAGTCACTTCTGAGGTTCACTGTTCAGCCAAAGATTAGACAGCCCCATAAAACAAAATGAGACTAATGGGGCACAACAGTCCAGGAACAAGGACTAGAAGGCAAGAGGGGACAGGAAAGCTGGTGATAGGGAACCCAAGGTTGAGAAGGGACAGTGTTGCCATATCGTGGGTTTGTTAACCATTGTCATAAAACAGTATGTGTACTAACTGTTTAATGAGAAAATATTTGTTCTGTAAACCTTCATCTAAAGTACAATTTTTTTTAAGAAAAGAATCTATGGTATTGAAGGAAGAAGTTAAAGCTGCACTGAAGGCATTGGTGAAAAACAAGGCTCCAGGAATTGTTGGAATACCGGTTGAGATATTTTAACAATGGGATGCAATGCTGGAAGTGCTTACTTATCTATGACAAGAAATTTGGAAGATAGCTACCTGGCCAACTGACTGGAAGAGATCCATATTTGTGCCCATTCCAAAGAAAGGTGATCTAACAAATGTGGAAATTATGGAGGAATAGCATTAATATCACAAATAAAATTTTGCTGAAGATAATTCAAAAAACGGTTACAGCAGTACATTGACAGAGAACTGCCAGAAATGAAAGCCGGATTCAGAAGATGACATGGAACGAAGGTTGTCATTGCTGATATTAGATGGATCTTGGCTGAAAGCAGAAAATATCAGAAAAATGTTTACCTGTGTTTTATTGACTATGCAAAGGTATTTAACTATGTGGATCATAAATTACAGATAACATTACGAAGAATGGAAATTTCAAAACACTTAATTGTGTTCACGTGGATCCTGTATATAGACCAAGAGGCAGTGGTTCGAACAGAACAAGGGGATACTGTGCGGTTTAAAATTAGGAAAGGTGTGAGCCAGGGTTGTATCCTTTCACCATACTTATTCAATCTGTGTGCTGAGCAAATAATCTAAGAAGCTGGGTTATATGAAGAAGAATGCGGCATCAGGATTGGAGGAAGACTCATTAACAACCTGTGATATGCAGATGGCACACAACCTCTATTAGGCTATGTATAGAAAAAATGATTAGAGAAAGATTTTTTAAAAAAATAATGACAAGACATGTATGCTTTATTAGTGATTTTGCACTGTGACTATTTGCATGTAATAAGGAAAGAATATTTCCAATGTTAGATCATTAGTTTTATTGAAACTTTAGTCAAGGCAGGGGTAATGGTGGCTATATTTTAAATATAGTACATAAGATAATGGCTACAAATTATGCTTTTTTTGAAATTGTAGCTTATTTATGAAAGTCAGACTCAGCTTTAAAAGCAGTGCAATTAAATAAACTATCAAAAATGCAAAAATACATTGTGTTCCCAGTGCCACTGAAGATATTTTTAATTTCAATTTAGTTTTCATAAGCATCTTTTTTTTAAGCTTATTAATGCAGAAGAGGTTTGAGGTGATAGTTGCTAAAAAACAGGAAGTTTTTATTTTTTTCCTTATGATGAAAATAATACATGCTCATTGTTTTAAAAAATTTGGACAAATGGAAAGATACAAAGAAGAAACCTAAGTATTCATCTCCAAATATTACTCTTGTTAACTTTTTGGTATACACCTCTCTAGTGTTTGTTTTTTACCTTGTGTGTTCGTGTGTGTGTACATTTTTAAATAATAGGATCATATTATAAATTTTTTTTTTTGTAAACTGGTTTTTTAATTTAATAGGGTACTGCTTGGATAGCATATTAAAAATTTGGTTTTAAAATTTTCACTAATATAAACAATTTTATGAGCACACTTTAATCTTTGTATACTGATTTTAGTTTTTTTTAATGAAGTAGATTGATGTGTATAGAAAGCAATTAAACAAATTTTGATTCACAGTTACCCATTGTCCTCTAGAAAGGTTCTACATATTCATATTTCTAATGTATGAGGACGTTTTCTCTATTTATTGCTGACACTAATATTTAGGTGTTAGATTTCATGCATGGAATTACAAATGGTTTGCTATAAAGTGGATAATTCAGTATTCCTTTAATGGTAGTTCTCTGAGATGACTTTTTATGTAACTAAATGGAGCTACATTGATTTTATTTAATTTCAGAATGACATTCTGCCCCTCTCAAACTCAGTGCCTGAAGATGTGGGAAAAGCTGACCAATTAAAAGATGAAGGTGAATATTTCATAGAAAAATTACTGTTTTAGTAAAACTTTCTGAAACTCTGAAATAAGTGACTGTCAATCAATCGATACAATTCTGGTTTTCACTGCCAAGACTAGATTATCATAGATGCACGTGGCACTTGTGAAACAAAAATGAATATGATCGATAAGAAACCTGGAAATACAGAATGGCTTGTGGTCAGTATAGGTATGCCTTGCTTGAAGCGAAACAAGTCTGTTGTGAGTAAAACTTGCAAAATGAATAACTTAAGAGCTGATTATTTGTGATTGTATTGGCTGCTTGTACTTTAGGATCCTAAATTCTTTGTGCTTAATCAAAGAGGGAAAAGTAATTTTGAGTATTATTTTAACATTATTATATTAGTATTTTTGAATTCTTTGAAGTTTGTTAATGCATGCATATGACATTTAAGTGTTTATTAGCCAATACATTTGATTACCTACAATATTATATTTCTAACAACTGGCTATTGAAGGATTCTTAGTTTTAACAAATAATTCACTCTTGAGAATCTGTCTTCAACTTTTCCATCATGTCTTTTATGTTAAGCTATAGAGGAGAGCCAAGTCAGGTCAAAAGATTTTTCTATAGAATCTGTAAAGCAGAGCTCTGATTTTTAGCTGTGAATGAGAGCCAATAAATTCTCCTTCGTATAGGCAGAGAGTTGTTAGGGAATATTCATGTTGAGAAATTATACTTAGAATCATTTACTGGCCTTTTGTTTGTTCATGCTGTGAAGAAGGTAGTTGAGTTTTGTTTCTGTTTATTTTTTAAATCACTTGATGTCTAAAAAGGAAGTTACGGAGAAGAGTGTATTTTTCTTTTCCATGCGCTAGTCAACTCTCTGGGTCAGTAAATATACAATTATATCGTCATTTTTAATGGCTCTGTTTTTGGAGCCCTGGTGGTGCAGTGGTTAAGAGCTCAGCTGCTAACCAAAAGGTGGGCAGCCCAAATCCACCAGCCACTCCTTGGAAACCCTATGGGGCAGTTCTGTTCTGTCCTGTAGGGTCGCTATGAGTCAGAATCGACTTGACAGCAATGGGTTTGTTTTTTGCTTTTAGTATTCTGTGGTACTGATAGACCATGATTTACTTACCCAGACAGATAATTTTGTAATCCCAAATAACACTGTATTCAGTATCTTTGCATATATATCTTTTCATTATTGCATGATTATCTTGTTAGAATTACATTTTAAAGTGCTGTGTTTCAAATAAACTGGTTTCAGTTTTCAATTTTTTATTTCCTTTCAGAAACAGTATCAGCACAGTGCCTTAAAAGCTTAGAATACAAAAAAAAAAAAAAAACCCCACTGTAGTCGAGTCGATTCTGACTCATAGTGACCCTGTAGCTTAGAGTAGCATGACTTAAATAAATTACATGCAAAATAAAGCGACAACCAGATCCTCAGTGTCAGTTGAGTTATAATATTCCCCCCAAATGAAATCGGTTTAAAAATTCATATCAGATATGAATTTTTCACATATTTGTTTCTAATTGAAAGAATTTAATCTGATTTTTTTCCTGCCCAGATTTTTGTAGTGTGTGAAATTTTCAGTGATGCAGTATATTCTTTACTAACATTTTACTTCTACAGTTCTCTTGGTTTAGCATAATAATAATAATGAGTAAATAGCAAATTAAGATTTTGTTTTTGACCCTCATGCTTATTCCCTCTGCATGGAAAAATATTGGGAGATTACGTTCCCTGTAGAGATTGTTTTGACATAATGAGTGTAAGATGAGTTAGAGATGAGCAGAGTGAGACTCACTTATTGTGGTTGCAGTGTGAATTATTGCCTTTAACCAAAAACTGGTAGTCCTTCATTTTTACTAAGACATGTTACATCTAAGATTGTCATTTTATACAGGTTTTGCTATTTGTGTGGAGGAAAAAAAAACAAACCCCAAAATCGCCATGGCATATTCAAGCATGGGGTTATCCCAGGCTATATGTTGTCCTTATCTGACTGTATAGTTAAGGATTTTGGCCTGCGTACCTTTCTGGAAGATTGCTTTCAAATATTTTGGTGTGCTTAGCTGCTGAAGAGCTACAATAAGATAAGAGGAAATCAAGAAGAATTCATTGCCATCCATTCCCTGACAGGTCACAGAAGTATAGAGTTCTCACAGAGATGACATAAGATTAAAGGAAACAGTTTGATAGGAGAGCACCATGTAACTATAAAGTGCCGTACAAATGCTTAGTTGTTATACTTGTGTCCTTTCTTCCCAAATTTCTTCGTGTCCTCAATTTTTGTCTGTTGAATATTTTGTGACTTGAAACTTTTCATTAACTTGTAGTTTGCGTATATGTAATATTTATAGAATGTCTACATCCATTTTAGTATGTATACATTTGAAGTGGTTTACAGTAAAATACATATATTTTTAATAATATTAATAATAAATACCATCCTAAGACTAAAATACCCAGCATCAACAACAAAATCCCAATAACCCCCCAAATTAAAATCTATTATATGGAAGAAGCAAATCTGTTTAACTACCTGGGCTAATATAGTTAACTTTACGCTTAATGATGTTATCTTCTCAGCTTCCGTAGAGGCTTTATATTCATTGCTTTTTTGGGGGGAGGGGATCCAAATTATTTTTATTTAACTTATTATAGAACATTTTCCTCACCTCAAAAGGAAACCCTGTACTCATTAGCAGTCATTCTTTATATTCATCTCTAATTCCTAATTTGCAGTAACTTTTGTACAATCTAGATGCTTTTATCTACCTGCCTTTTCTTTAATCTTCCTGTTCCTGATCCCTGTGGATTTACACCCCATTCTCCCCATTAAGTAGCTAATGGTCTATTAATTTACAAGGCATATAGGAGAGCTTCTGGTTTAGAGAAAGCTGGAAGGACTCTTAGAGGCCATTGTGATATAAATCCTTCCTTCTAGTCCCAGTTTATTGTTGTAAAAGTTTGGATTTTGCACACGGGTTCTTATAAATATTCAGATAATGTAAAAGAAATGATAGCTACAGGAAATCCTTTGTTTTGCTGACCAGTTGTTAACCTAGCTAAATTATTAGCAGATGTAATTGCAGATTCCCTTTCTGAAAATTAGTGCCCTGTGGGCTAGCTAAAGAGCACTGGTGGTGCAATGGTTAAGCGCTCGCCTGCTAACCGTAAGGTCAGCGGTTACAACCCACCAGCTGCTCTGAGGGAGAAAAGACCTGGAGTTCTGCTTCTGTGAAGATTTCAGCCTAGGAAACCCTATGGGACAGTTCTACTCTGACCTATAAGGTTGCTATGAGTCGGAATCCACTCGATGGCACCTAACAACAACATGGGCTAGCTATGGTATCTGAAATTCTATCTTTCCAGAAATTAATCTTCAAAAATCTCGTTTTAAAAAGAATCTATTTCTGGGAGGGATAGCACATAAAAATATTGTTCGCTAATTAGCATGATTAGTTTACTGTCTTAGCCCCAGGGGAGTTCTGAGAACCTGGTCACTCAGCAGGTGTAGGTTATGACAGGAGGAATTGGGATTGAAGACCAGGCCAAGACTGAGATGGTGACTGACGAGGGTGTTGCATCTAGAGCAGGGTACGGCAACTCTAAAAAGGAGGAGAGAGACGAAGATAAGGAAGGTGAGAAGAAATTGTATTTTGCCATAATTGTTGCATTTACTCTCTTAATGAGGCCTGGATCTTATAAGGTATACAAACATTAATTCTGAAGACTCTGCATTGTTCATGAATGCACACTGAAAGCTAAGGAAGATCAACTATATAGTATATAAAATTTATCTCCATTGTGAGTGAAAAATCATGTGACTGCCCTTTGTATTATTGTAGTTTTTATGATTAAAATTTATCTTTCAGACTTTAAGTGTATTTTTTCTGTATTTTGTGCTTATTGTATATATTGATTATTTTAGGCAATAATCACATGAAAGAAGAAAATTATACTGCTGCAGTGGACTGCTATACACGGGCAATAGAATTGGATCCAGATAATGCGGTTTATTATTGCAACAGGTAAACTGGCACTGTTGTAGCACGTTTATAGTTCTTAAACATTTGGATTAATAGCTCTGAAGGAGAAGTGTAAAATGGATCTACTTGGAAAATTTTGAAAGCTCAGAAAAGTATAAAGAAGGAGGGGAAAAAAAACCCTCAGACTTACCACTTAGAGGCAACCTTTATCAACCTTTTGGCATATTTTGTTCTACATAAGTGCAATCAATTTTAGACTCAGCCTTATTCACTAAGCATATCGTAAATATGTCATTATTTTACTGAAATTGTTTATAAACATTATTTAAATGGCTATAAATTATGTTATTATTACCTCTTAACTCTTTTTTTGAATTTCCAACATTTATCATTGTGTGGGAAATACGAACTCAATGTTATCTTTGAACGTTTGGATGGACGTACTTTAATTTACTTAACTGTTAGCCTACTAAGGGACTTTGAGGTCGTTTCCATTTTTCCCCCAGTATTATAAAGCTGCAAAGAGCATCTTTGTTTCTAAAAATTTTTCTGGAATTCACATTTTCTAGATTTTGGATATATCCTTGGAAGTGCACTTAGTAGGGCTAATGGTACAGACAAGAAAAAAATTGTTGATGCACATTGCAAAGTTGTTCCAACTTCTTTGAAAATATTTAGAAAATTAATTCCCTCCCCAGAAGTGTGTATCTACCAAACCCTTTTCAGCATCAGATATTCAAATTATTATTTACTATTTAAAATATAATATTATTGCTTTTTTAATATCATTGTTATAATTTATATTTATTTGATTATTGGAGAGCTTGGACGTTTTTCATATGTTGGCCATTTGTAAATTATCTTTTTGTAACTATGGCAGGGCTTAGCCTGTTTGGCCTTAGACTTATTGTTATTTCTTTTCATGCTGAGCTTTTTATAACAGTGAGGCTGACCCCTCTAGACTGCATTTCCCAGACTTCTTTGTCTCTTGGCTTCTGTCTGGGTTCAGCCATGGAATGTATTGGCAGGAGATTGGAGGGTAGAAGGAAGGAAGAACTCAGGGTATTCCCCTTTTTTTACTTCAGGGTACATATCTGGCAAGGGCTGTGTCTCATCTTTGCCTCCATCTCCTGCTGGAGAGACCTGCTATGTTCCCAGCTTTAGCCAGGTGATCTTGGGTTTTGGACTCTGCCTTTTGTCCTTCTGTCTTAGGGGTGGTAATAGCTTCCTATCTCTGGATTGTTGTACAACCCCTGTTGGACTTCTCAGTTCTTCTCTCACCTGCATAATTAATTCCCTGAATTATATAACTCTGTTTTAGATGTTTTAACTGCTACATGCCCTTTACCCTTTTTTTTAATTCTTAGGTTTTTCAATATATAATATGCATGTATTCTATATCAGTGTTATTCAATAGAATGTTTTACAATGATGGAAGTGTTCTATATCTGTGTTGTCTACAGTGACTATTGAGTACTTGAAATGTGGCTTCTGCAAATGAGGAACTAAATTTTTAATTTAAAATCAGTTTAAATTAACTTAATTGATTTAAATTTAAATAGTCACATATGGCTAGTCATACTGTGTTGAACAGCCCATCTATATATTAAATATATAATTCCTTTGTCATAATTGCACAGCTTATTGTTGCCTTTTAATGTTTTTAATATGTAAAAGCTTAAAATATTTATGTAATGAAATTGTTTTTCTTTTCCTTTAAATTTTCTTCTAATGCTTTTCAGCTTAAACCTCTCTTTGTTTACGGACTTGACAGATAACTTCTATTCTCTTATTTTTCCTTTACGTTTAAATTTTATCATCTCAAATCTATTTTGGTGAATAGTATGACTGTTTTAATCAATCTGTAACTTTTTATGACTTAGCCTAATAAGAATTACCTTTTGTTTTATAGTAAGTTCTTAGATTTGAAAGAGATCTTTAAGTTAATTTGGTCCAGTTTTTCACTGAGTTACTGTTGCTGTATTTAGGATATTCATACCCTTCTGAGATAGCCTCCCCACTTTTCATTTTTTGTTATGTCTAACTGTAAGAAATGTCTTCCTTATACTGACGTTGAATTTGTTTTCTTGTAGCTTCTGTTAGTTGGCTTTATTTTTACTCCTAAGGGCCGTTATAGAACAAGTATCACTCTTCTTATGACAGTACCTTATATATTTCAAGTTTGCTACCATTTTCATCTGAGTTCTTTTCTTCATGTTAAATGTTTACAGTTTCTTCAGTTATACCTCAGGAAGAACAGCTTTAAGCCCCACGTCTTTAAACTTGATCCAGTTTACCTGTATATCTTAAAGTGTAGTTTGCATAAGTTAACGTGGCTTACCTGGCATTGGTCTGACCAGAACAGTCTTATAGGGCTCTCATTTAACCTACTTCTGGATAACTTAATTACATATTATCACTTTATAGCATTGTTCGTTTAATTCATATTTTGCGTTTGGTTAGTTAAAACCCCTCTCTTTTTTTCACACATTCACTCTGTTACCAATTATAAGTCTAGTAGTAACTTTGTTAAAGTAAAAAGGAAATGTTGTTAGTTTGATAGGCTTAGAATTAATCCAGTATTATTTTCTTTCTTCTTTTTTGTCCCCAACATTTTATTATGAAAATTTTCAAAGTTGAAAGATGTTTACACTGAAATCTCGAGTACTTTCACTAAGTTTTGACAGCTGCATACACCTTTATAACCCAGACCTCTGTCAACATACAGAAAATTACCATCAGCCCAGGAGTTCCCTCATGCCTCTTCACAGTCAGTTGCCTCCCACTCTCCCTAGAGGCAGTCACTGTTTTGGTTTTTTCCTACCATGCATTAGATTTATCTGTTCTAGAATTTCATGTGAAAGAAATCATACAATATGAACTCTTTGTGTAAGACCTTTTTGGCTCAACATAATGTTTTTGAGATTGGAAGTTTGGGGTTTCCTAAAAGCACCCTCACATTTGATAATTCACTATAAGTACTCACAGAACCCCCATGCATCTGTCAGTTTGTCATACTGGGGCAGAGGGGCTTGCGTGTTGCTGTGATGCTGAAGTTATGCCACCAGTGTTCAAATACCAGCAGGGTCACCCATGGTGGACAGGTTGCAGCTGAGCTTCCAGACTAAGACAGACTAGGAAGAAGGACCTGGCAGTCTACTTCTGTTCTGTTGTACACAGGATCACCATGAGTCGAAACCGAGTCAACAGCACCTAACAACAACACCACTCACAGAACTCACTGAAAGCTGTTATACTCATGGTTACAGTTTATTTTAGGGAAGGCATACAGATAAAAATCAGCCAAGGGAAGAAGTGCATAGGGCAAGGTCCAGGAGGGTTCCAAATGCAGAGCTTCCAGTGTCCTCTCTCTGTGGAGTCACAGTGATATTATTTTCCTGGTATAGATATGTGACAATATGCACAGAATATTTACCAAAACATATCCCAGCTTTGGTGTGCAGAGTTTTTATTGGGGTCCCATTATATAGGCATCATTGATTGATTGCCTACATGGATGATTTCAGTCTCTAGGTTGGCTGATACCTCATGACCCAAAGTCCTCACCCTGTATCACATTGTTGGTCTTTTTGGCATGGTGAGCCCTTATCCCAAGACAATATGGATGTGGCCAGCCTCTGTCCTAAATCACATTGTTAGACTCCAGTATGACCCTACGTCTTCAGGCAAACAAAGACACTCCTAATACACATAGCATCCCAGAGATTACCTCCCAAAAGCTGAGTGCAAAGGCCAGACCTCTTCTTTTGGGCAAATTCTTTAGTACATAAAGATTCAACCATGTTGTTGTATGTATCAGTAGTTTGTTCCTTTTCATAGCTCAGTTGTATTCTGTTGGTTGAATGTGCCGCAGTTTGCTTAGCCATTTTCCTATTGATGAGTTGGTTCCATTTTTTGGCTATTATGAATAAAGCTGCTATGAACATTCTTGTATAAGTGTTTTTGTGAACATATTTTTTCCTTTCCATTGGGTGAATACCTAGGAATGGAATTGCTGGATTATAGGGTAGGTTTATTTTTAGTTTTTATAAGGAACAGCCAGGGCATTTTCCAATGTGGTTGTACCATTTTAAATTCCCACCAACAATGCAGAGAATTCCATTTGCTCCACATCCTTGTCAACATTCGATGTCCATCTGTTTAATTTTAGCCACTCTAAGTGGTTGTGTAATGGTATCTCACTGTGATTTTGATTTACATTTCCCCAGCAACTAATGATGTTGAGGACCTTTTCATGTGTCTATTGGTCATCCTTATATCTTCCATTATGAAGTTTCTGTTAAAATTTTTTGATCATTTTTAAATTGGATTGTTTATCTTTTTATTACTGATTTGTAGGTGTTCTTTATATATCCTAGATACCAGTCTTTTGTCCCATATATATTTTGTGAATATTTTCTTCCAGTTTATGGTTTCATTATTTATTTCTTTAACAATAATCTTTGATAAGCACGTTTTTAATTTGATGAAGTCTAATTTACCAATTTTTTTTTCATGATCAGCACATTCTACAAACTAAGAAACTTTTACCTATCCCTAAGGCACAAAGATGTGATCCTTCATTTTCCTCTAAAGCCTATATTGTTTTAGGCTTTACGTTTTAGGTCTGTGACCCATTTCCATACACAAAATTAATTTTTGTATATGGTGAGAGATAGGGGTTAGAGTCCTTGTTTTTTTCCTTATGGACATCCATTTATTCCAGCAGCATTTGTTGAAAATATTTTTCTTTCCCCTTTGGATTGTTTACTACCTTTGTCAAAAATCAGTTGACTATAGCTGTATAGCTCTATTTCTGGATTCTATACTACTTCATTATCTATATATCTGTCTTTATGCCAATACCATGCTGTGTTGATTTCAGTAGCTTTATAATATGTCTTGAAATTGGATAGTGTAAGTCCTTTAAATTTGTTCTTTTATTAAGGTTGCTTTGAATATTCTAGGTCCTTTACATTTCCATATAAATTTTAGAATTATCTTTTTAATTTCTGCAAAAAAGCCTGCTGGGATTTTGATTG